GGCTGTGGGGTTTGTTTGGTTGTTTTGAGGTGCTGGGCTGGAATGTAGGACCTCCTGCCTACTGGGAAAGTGCTGTTTCTCCGAGCTAACTCAGGTCCTCACTGTACAAAAGTAATGGCTTTTCAACACTGAAGGTTTAGTTTACCTAAGAGACGAATGAAGCATTTTGCCCTGAGTTCTGACATCAGTACCAAAACCCAGGAGATTTCGAAGTTGGAGTTTACATCCGACATTCACGAGTTCCTGGGCAAATGGCGTTAGCTCTCTGGGTCTGCGCTTACACATATGGAAGGGGAGTGGACATGAAGGAGCCTTCCAGCCCTCCAGCTCGGTGTGCCATGAGGGAGCCAGAACTCACTGATAGGCATTGGAAAGAGTGACTCATTACCCTGCTAAACACAGGAAGATTACCTCCTCTCATTAACAGACTGGAAGATACAAGCTAAAAATCGGAGGTGGCTTCAAAGTTCCATCTCTTTGAGTTTTCCTTTTTGTCACATTTGATGAAAAGTGAACAGTCTTGGGTTAGGTGTGGGCTTGGGGAACCAACTTCTACCTCCTGCTGCAAACTAATGTCTTATTAGTTTTTATTGCCAAGGAAAGGAAAATATACTACCTATTCATTCCAGCCTTTCCCTTATTGATTTAAAAGTATAATGCTGGGACTTAAGAGAAAAACGATTGCATTCATTTGTTCATTACAAAAGGCCTCCCTACCACACGGTAGAAAATTCAAATGGGAAAAGGTGAAAAATAAAAATCTCACATGGTATTCCGCACCTGTTAGTTTTAAGTTGTCTGCTCCCATCTTTTCATTGCACATTTTAAGCTCTAAGCATGGCATTTTCATTAAACACCTTTGCTGTATTCTGACACAGAACTGACAATGATGTTTTTAATAGTAAAATAATATCCTGTGAGGCATATGCTGACTTATTTTTACCATCTTACTTGCCTTTCTTGTTGGAAGGCAATAAAGATAGGAGTTGAGACCACAGTGGTTGACACCGACTCTACTAGTCCCAGCAAGACCTCAGTCCCACCACTAAACTCTGCAGGCTCGGATGCCCTCCCTGTGAGCACACAGGCTATGTTAGTCTGGTCTCAACAGAGGACGGTCAGGACAGCATGAGGTCATGTCTGTAGCAGGCGCACTGCCAGTGTCTAGAGCACGGTTGACTTCGCTGAGCCTGGCTGTGGCTGCTTCTTAGCCTGCATTTCTCTCTGATGATCGACTTGATTTTTCTAAACATTCCACAAAGAAACATACGGGAACTGTCAGGCTGTGTGACCTCGCCTCTTAGGAGCCTCATTCCTCATTTGCAAAGTGTAGTGGTCAGACTGTAAGTCGTGACCTCAGAGATCCCTTCCACCCTTGATGCGCCGCGTCCCTTGTCATTAGAAGCTGCGGCCACTGCAGAGAATGGCCTGGGAACTGGTGGAGACGGCGATCCAGGCTCACTGGCTTCCCGTCACATCCAGAGAAATGCTTGACGTTGTCCCATCGCCTTCCTCCCAGAGACTACCGGGTCTTTGGTCTATGTGACCCTCTGGGCCTCACTTTTTAAATGTAGGCTTCGCAGGCTCTGGTCTCATCCTGTGCTTTATTGATCCATTCCATATTCTAATGTCACTTCGTTGCTGCGGTCATCTTCCCATGTGGCCACTGGAGGAAGAGAAACCAAACTGCAAGGTTCAGGAGGATAGACGCTACCGTCTGATCATCCCCGATGGACAGAGATTGTCTGCCCTGCTTACCACCGCCTGCTTGTTATCCCTGCTGACCTTAAATTAAAAATAAGCAATGTCTTCAGACACCCGAGTAATTGGATGAGTCGTCTCACTGATTCACGAACTGTACCCTAACACTCAAGACTTACCAGATCCCCAACCAAGTGCCCTGAAGGGCCTCCGGTGACCTCGCCCTAGGATCAAAGGTGCTTCCAAGGGAAGGAATCAGATGCTACCAGCACGGAACTGAAGGCCCCAGGGTCACCCCGCCCTGCCACTTCTGGCCTTACATTCCCAGGGGACACAGTGGAGCATTCACTCCCCAGGGTCTCCTCAGCGTGCACAGTTCTGCCCTCGGGAGAAAATGGGGTACCCACAGAGAGGCAGGGGGCTGACAAGGTCAAGCGAAGGCTGCTACCTGGTATTAACCCTTTCGCTGCTCTTACTGTGTGGCCTGCATAGGATATTAGCCTCTCCGTGCTTCCATATCCAAAACGATAAAAAAAAAGTCTCCAGAGGGCCTGTACAGGCTTGCACATGGGAAGAGCACACGCCAGGTGTATCCTAAGTGTGCAGGTTAGCAGCTGAGACCACAATCAATCAAGCATGAGTGGGTCTGGTCATCAGTAGAGGGGGCTAGAGGGGGTCATCTGCAGCCGGGACTGTGGAACCAGGCGTGAGCTTAAATGTCAGCTGAGATGCATCCTCCGTGCCTTGCCGGACTGCCCGCACCAATCTGCTCTGTGTGAGTGACTTCTCTCTGAAGATGGGGGGGGCACACGTATGCGAAGCGCTGGCCGGGTCTGGCGGGTCACTGATGGGTGGTACCGTGAGCCCGTGGCACAGCCCAGCTCCACCAGAGCGGGGCTTGCACCAGGATCTTTCGAGGCCAGAGCCACTTCTGTTGTTCCTGGGGTTTACTTGGTGCTGCCAGGCTGGGCTGGGCAGCTGCTGGGCCTGGGGTCATCAAAGCCATTGTGAAAGTTCCTTGTTTCCTCCAGCATCTCCCTCCTGCTGGAGAAATCCCTTTACCCTGCCCGTGGAACCTGGAGGGCCGTCTCTCCAGCCACATGAATTCAGCAGAAAACAAAACAAAACAACAACAACAACAAAACCTCAAGTGAAACAGTCCATGAGAATCCACTGTATTCTACTTTACATGCACTTAAATTTTTAGTAAGAAACTAAGTTTGAAAAGATGGTATAAAACACAAACTTCAAAAGTTTAATTCTTTGTTTCCAACGAGCTGTTGGGGAATGGCATTCTTAGGATCTGATCCTCCCACGCACATAGTGGAGACCACTGGCTGCAGTCCTTGTGTAGTGTAACTTCTCAGCCTGGGGCCTGAGTGAGAGCCACGCCTGAGGTCTAGGTGAGTGAGAGCCACGCCTGAGGCCTGTGTGGGAGTCACGCCTGAGGCCTGTGAGAGTGAGAGCCACGCCTGAGGCCTAGGTGAGTGAGAGCCACGCCTGAGGCCTGTGAGAGTGAGAGCCACGCCTGAGGTCTAAGTGAGAGCCACGCCTGAGACCTGTGAGAGTGAGAGCCACGCCTGAGGCCTGTGAGAATGAGAGTCACGCCTGAGGTCTGTGAGAGTGAGAGCCACGCCTGAGGTCTAAGTGAGAGCCATAGCCATTAGCAGGGTTTCTTCCACCTGAGGCCAGGTCTGCACCTGCTAGAGGCCCTCTGAGAAAAACATAATGGTCTATCTCATCAAAGCTGCAGCTTCTAAAACTTCATTCCATGAAAGCCTTCTCCCTTTGGCACAGAGAGAATCTGCTTTTACGAGGAAACATTTGCACTGTCTTAAGGAAGAGAAAAATGGGGTGTTTAAGAAAATAGAAAAAGACAAAGTTTCTCTTCCAGAAATAACAACCCTGCCAGCTTCCTGGGGTCATGAAAAAATGCTGTTGGCAATGACGCTGAGGTGTTCTAGCACTGTCTCTGTAAACTTCCTCTCCCCTGGGCCACATTCTACACCCCATCAGCACAGACATAATTTATTATTTGTTTACATGTTTCACATACTCGGCTAAGGTGGAAAACTAGTGATGCAGTGTTATGAGAGAGGAGAGAGAATGTAGTGTGCGTGTGTGTGTGTGTGTGTGTGTGTGTGTGTGTGTGTGTGTGTGTATGAGACAGACAGACAGACAGACGGGGTGGGGGGACTGTATGACCGTAAAGATACATGCTACTGAAAGGCTCAGGGACATCTATACAGTCTGAGTCTCCAACTGGTCACAGCACAAGTGGCCTTTTCAGGATGACCAGAACCTCCTTGGGCTCTTGGTTTACACCCAAGGTGTCCCACACTGCATAACCTCCTCTCTTTCTCTGGGAAGCAGGATGAGCTCAGGGAGGTTCAGGCTCCCAGTGAACATGACTCCTCAGTCCTTCCAACCATCTTCTTGTGGAAAGATCCAGAGAGACCTGTGACAATGAACACATTGCTTTCCTGCAGGTGACTGACCCTCTGAAAGAAGTAGACAGACGGGTCCATGGTGATGCATAAATGTGATATATAGACATACAAGCAAACATCCTATACATACAAAATAAAAATAAAACTTTAAGGAATCCAGACACAGAAAAGGCCTATAGTGTATTCAGTTACTCACAACTCTTTGACCCGGGCTCAAACAAGTCACCAAAACTGAAGATGGTCACCCCTAAAGGGCAGAGGTGCTTGCTTCTCAAATCAGACAAACAGAAAAAAAATTCAGCCAGGGCTGGAACATAACAAAAAAAGCTGAATTGTCTCCACACTGTCAGAACGAGGGGAGGAGAGAGAGGAGGAGAGGGAGGAGGGAGGAGAGGGAGGAGGGAGGAGAGGGAGGAGGGAGGAGAGGAAAGGATGGAGGGAAGAAAGAAGGAAGGAAGGAAGAAGGAAGGAAGACAGAAGGAAGGAGGAAGGAAGGAAGGAAGACAGAATGAAGGAGGAAGGAAGGAAGACAGAAGGAAGGAGGAAGGAAGGAAGGAAGAAGGAAGAAGGAAGGAAGACAGAAGGAAGGAGGAAGGAAGGAAGGAAGGAAGGAAGGGAGGGAGGGAGGGAGGGAGGAAGGAAGGGAGGGAGGGAGGAAGGCCCGGACAATAGCAAAGCCCTTAGTAAAATGGCAGGTTATGTATGTGCAATGTGTTACCCACAGGGCCGGGTTGTAGCCCCGTGGTAGAGTAAATAGTATACGTAAGACCCTGGGTCAGTCCCTAGCACCACTAAATGAGTTTAAAAACAGACAAACTAAAACAAAAAACAAACAAAAAAAGGATGTTGTCAATATTCACGGTGTTTTCAAAGCACTATTTGGGATGTCGGAATAACATTCGAAGGAAGTTCTTTGGTGCCTTAGAAACCATTGCAGTCTTTTGCATCTTCACCCATGTATTCAACACTATAAATCTGCATCGTGGGTGAAGAGTGTAGCAGGGCAGTCCGTGTAAGAAACCTTGCGGAATTTCTTGCCGTGAACTAGTGCCGGACTTTCTCTTTCTGGTAGTTCAGGTATTCTTTGGGTGAGAAAAATCAGGCCCAATGGGATTAATAACTTGCCCCAATTCACAGAGACATTAATTAAAGCCGATCTGAAGGCTAGATCTGCGTTCTCACCACCCAAAAGGCATCGCCGGGATGGCAGGAGCAAAACACCTTCAGGAGACGGGGTCCTCTGAACCCAGGCAGGTGTTAAACCAGGAGGCAAAAACGTTCAGTAAGGGGCGCCCGAGAGCCCAGATGGTAACTGGTGCCTGGCTCCCTTCCTAGGGGCCCAGCCGGCAGGGAAGGGCTTGGAATTTAATCCTCAGCATTCCAGTCAGGGTTCCTGTGACATAATAAAGCCCAAGGAGGGGTCTCCAGTGACTTGTCAGCAGAACCCCCGGAGGGACGTTCTATAGATAGCCAGGGCGTGTCGCAGGCTCAGTCCCTTTCTGCAGAGGGCAGTTCTTTCATGCCTGGGCTGGGCAGTGCGGTGTGCAGCAGGTGGAAGGGTGGGGGGCCCGCCAGGCATGGGCCCAGAAGACTGCAGGGCTGGGAAATGTGTGTATGCGCTGGCGGGAGGGAGCCCAGGCCCAGGAGGGAATTCCAACTATGGCGTTTTGAAGAAAATGTTTTGTTGTTTGCCCTGGCTGACCCCACCCCCACGTTAGGAAGCCGGCTGCAAGGGAGAAGTCCCAAATACAGAACCTCACACAGCCTTTGATGTGGGCTCTGAGAATTCCCTGGAACGCGCGTCTCTTTTGGGGAGAGACATGCCAGGAATGTTGGTGTGCCCGTGCTGTGATTGGAGGCTGCTGGGTTGAGAGTTTCCTCATTTGCATGGTCGAGCGGGCAGCCTGTGCTTTGTTTCCCACCGCAGAGACTCAGAGACTGTTTACCTTCCAACTTCCAAGCCAGCAACCGTCCTATCAATAAAGTCACATAAATACCAGAATGATAGCAGAGACGCTGGCCATTACTAATATTTTCCCCCCACCCTGCTTGCTGGAGGAGAGACATCCTCAGAAGCCATGCATATATTTTACATAAAATAATAGTTGAACTGCCAAGGGCTTTAACGATGTAATTTCACCATGGGATTGTGGACTCCTTGGTTTATGTCGCTGTCAGAACCCCAAGACAGGAATTAACTCATGTAGCTGGTTCAAATCCAAGTCCTATTTAGTCTATTCTCCCTTATGGATGACACACTCAGCTATTCTGATAGCCCAAACATGGATGGGAAGGGTATGAGATTCAGAAAAGCCCTGCCGGGGTGTATCCGTTAGCTTCAGAATCAATCCATTCATCGGGAGTTAGCTTCAGAATCAATCCATTCATCAGGAACCATATACCGTTGTCCTAAAACCATGCACATTTGGGTCAAGGAGCCTGGGCTTATTTGAGTTGCAAAGCTGAGAAGAATCAGACAAGCGTCTGTCTCACCTGTAGTGAGCGGCTGTTGGTATTCAGCTCTTCCAGGATGCTGGGATAAAATGTGCTCACACTGATGGGCTCAGAACCGGGTACCTGGAAAGGTCCGTTCCAGGTGCCTGGACAGAGTTGAGATAGTTTGGACCCTTCAAAGGTCCAAGAATCTTAGCTACTTCCATCCAGAAGCTTCTGTTTTTAGCCCCTAAATTCCTCAGATGCTCTGCATATGTGAATTGTATTCTTCCCAGCCCCTGCCCTGTCTGGAATCTCGGGTCCCTGTGAGAGTCTAGCACAGCTGCCTGTTGCAAACAATTTAGGGAACATGAAACAGAGCATATTGTGATTCCACAGCAAGGTTAAGAGTGAGCTTGCAGAGGCTCTCATGGGTGCGCTTTCTCTGGCTGAGCTCTGCCCGGAAGGGCCCTGTCCTCCCCACACCAACCAGGCCAGAAACAGGGACTCTCAAGGATCATGGCTCATCAGGCTTCCTGTGACAGCCTGTTTACGATGTCTCTATCCAGGTGCGTGGGAGCACTTGTCTATAGGTGTAAGCATATAAAGTGTAAGACCTGTGAGCAGGTTCCCCTCTGTAATACAAAAGGAACGCTCAGGAGCTATCCCACTCTGTTAGCTGGAACCCTGGGTAAGGAAGGAATCAGTGTTTCTGAACTTGTTTATTTTGAAGTATGCAAGACAGAGAGAATAGAGAAAGGTTCTGTAAAATAAATGGGTCCTGGTGTGTAAAATGCCCTATCCAGTATCTTCCGGCATGGGGCAGAGCAGTAATGCTAAGAACAGGAGGTTGAAATTGACTAGGTAGCCGGGGGTCGGGAATGGGTTTGGGGGACCAAAAAACAGTAACCACTTTCTTTCTAGACCAAAACCAGAGAAGTTTTTGGGCTTCTTGACAGCCTCACCTTGTCAGAGGCCCAAGATGCCAAAATGTTTGGGGGTCCTGATCTGATTCCCACCAAGGGGTGCTAGGGTAAGATTCTCTTGGTCAAAGAGGACCTCTGGCCTCAGTGGAGATCTGACATCCCAGCTGGGTTCAGTCCTTCACTTGGCTAAGCGACTGCCCCTAGGAAGTGGGTTCACCTTAAGGCAGGCTGACAAGAGAGTTGGAACAATTCTCTTTTAACGATGCTCTGTACTTTTGTGTCCCTGGATCCCTGTGTTTAGTGTAGTAGCCTGCAGGGCTGCAGTAGCTTATGGACCACAGCCATGTAGATTATAAGTAAGCCTTCTCACGTTTCTGAATGGTTTTCGGAATGATTCAGAAAATCGTGACTTTTCCTTTTCTTCCATGTCCTCTTAGGCACATGTTTCCTAACACTTTGGGTCCCCCCCCTAACATTTTGGGCTTCCTTGGTCTTTAAAGTTTCCCTCCCCACCCCACCATGTGGCGGTTTTCCCCTTCTCTCCTCCTCCAAGCAGTTGCTGAGGTTTCTACCAGTTGGTTGCCTGCCCTGGGGGTTTTCTTTCAAACGATAATAAAATTCCTTGAGCTTCTATTGGAGCCAATTCCTAAATTCTTTTATTAATGAGACTAAGAATCCCCAAAGGAGGACCCTAATTTCCGATGCATCATCAAGACTGACAAAGCAGGTCTCCAGACCTTAATAGGTTTCCAGACCTTAGCACAACTGACACCATGTTGGAAGTTCTAGTCAGGCCTTGGAACTCAGCCCATAGCAGCACCTACCAGAACAAAGACAAAGGCCTAATCCATCACAATCCACAGCCTGGAAAAGTCCCTAATTGTACCATAACCTTGATGTTTTTGGCTTCTGTATTTCTGTTTCTGACTAGCTGTTGTTGCTAACTGAGGATGTCAATCCAGGATGTGGTTCTTGTGTTTAAAAGTTCTCCCCAAGAACGGTTCAGGACTGCACTGGGATCCTGAACACCCAGTGAAGTCCTCAGCTGGCTAATAAAGACTTTTTATTGACTTGAACCCACGCCCCAGTGGTCTTCTCTGGTGGATAACACCGAAACCACTTCAAAGGGACAAATTTCCTTGCAGGCCACATTCAAGCAAGCTACAAGACTCTCCCTTCCCCTCTTATTAACACCTCTCTGGGTCTTTCTTCCTGAGTGCCAGATTAGATGATAAGAGAAAAGATGTTTTCAAGTAGCCAGATGTTGCTGTTAACAATCAAAGAAAAGGAGATTTTTGTTCTCAAAAATGCTTGTGGTGACGCATGGAATGTGGTCACAGCATTTCTCAGCTGGGACCTCCAGAGGCTGAAGCTACAGCTCATCAGCTGGAGTTCGGAGTTCTTGAACACTCCTTGTGAGGGCAGTAGCAGCGTGAGTGGGGGAGGGATTGGCATGTCCCTGAGGTGTCAGAGGGTCTTGTAGGATTGTGACACTCATCCGTAGCTGAGGAACTGCAGCCTCTGATGGATTTTTGTGTTCTCCAGTTTTTCCTACTCATTTCACTCGCCCTTTTCTTAGAATGTTCTCTCTCCTTGTAAACATCTTCCTCTCACCTGTGGGGGGGGGGGAACTGGACACAGTCATGTTTAGGAACTGTGAAATGGAGCTGAAATGATTTGCAGGTCAACTCTGCAGCTGCCAAATGCCCAAAGCAGATCTTTGGAAATAAAGACCTTTGGCCTCTATGGAAGGCAGTAATGCTGGTAAGTCCTGAGTGTTTCTCCACAGCACCCTGGCTAGTTCTTTCTAGTGGTTGTGGTTGGCATTCCATAAATAGTCCAGTCCCATCTCGGTTTCAGGAAATGACTGACACGTGGAGCGGGGTGAGGTCTGCAGCGAGTGGAAAACTCTCTTTTCAGCAGTTTCTGTCTTACAGTGGATACCATCCTGTACCCCAGAGGACTAAGTACACAGTTTTAGTTATTCGAGAAAGCATCGATATAAAGATGCTACATAAACTAGTCCCTGGGTAGAGAACCTGGTTTTCAGACTGTGATAGTCACAGAAGCTGAGTGTCTATTTGATTAGCTTTGTGTCATCCCCAGTACCAGGAGACCCTGACAACAATGTTAAAGACCACTGGGCCCACACTGCCTCCATAGTCACAATGAGTTGACATGCCTCTTCCTGAATCTCTTGGTGTTTCTGGGTTTCAGTTATATAACAGGTTTTTGTTCCTTTCATGACTTTCCTCCCCAAAAGCTCTCCCTGAAAACCAAAACAACCTTTCTGTTCCTTTAATAGAGCGGGATTCCTAACCAGTGTATAGAAACAGATTTACTTAGCAGAGACCTGAGCAGAAATTAGACTATCCATCTAGATGGGGGCTGGTGGCACTTTTGCCTGTTGATGGGATAGACTCATTTGTAAAGTTTTATATGCTGAGAAGCTTTGGGTTTGACCAGGCTATGCATTAGTCACCTCCAAAGTAGTGGCATTTAATTTCAGCTTCATTTTGAAGCATTTAGAAGTTTATGTGTTAGATTGCTTCTCAAGATGTTTTCTTTGCGTGATTACTTTTCCCCTCCCGACCCAGATTCATGGTATTGCTTAAAGAATTTTATGCTAGGGCTAAAGATACAAAGTTCCTTTCATCACCAAAATGGGGTTTTACTTTGACAGCTCATCTTCTTGGACACACCTTTGCAGTACCAATGAACACACCAGCTACGGTCCCTCATACAGCTTGGCATAGGAGGAGCAGAGCTGGGCTGTGTGGAAGCCGGTGCTAACATCTAGGCATCTAAGGGGCCATTTTAAGAAGTGCCGAAGGCATCCCAAATGACATGACTTTTCAGAAGCCAGGGATAGTTATTGTGCCTGTGTTATCCAGCTGTGTAGACAATGAGACATGGATTCAGATCCCTTTCCTCAAGGCGCACAGCTGTGGCGTCTCACAAAGTCCATATCAGGACACGTAAAGTTAGTGACATTATGACACAAGTCAGATTTGATCTTCAAC